TCAATGACGATTAATCAGTTGCGAGACTTTCGCCGTTAAAAATGATTTTTTTTGTTATCAACATACACTTTGAAAAAGAATCTTCCTTAAGAAAAAAACAAGAAAAGTTTATCTTTCTTACTTATTCTTTTCAAATTTAAATTCTATGTCTACTTTTAGAACAAACAAACAAAGAAGTCATACCATCGACATCGGTGAGTATTATAATCATCTATTTCTTTTCAAACATATTCAACTGAGTAGATATACACAGGATGTCGAGTATGCTGCAGCTGAAATTCTTGCCATTAATGGAGGTCATTATATTCGTTTTGCTCTTGATAAACCAGTATTACGGTAAAGAAATTGACGAAAAAAACAAGGTTTTTGTTTTTTTTAATAGTTTCTTTTTAGATTATATACAGTCATCTATTCAACATTTTGGTATTGGATAGTATGGTTTGCAGATGCTGCTTTACTTCTATTACCTTGTATTGAACGACCAGCTTATTTCACAGATGTTCCTCCATGGGTGGCTTTAATTATTGAAATAGCTGCTTTATCAATACTTTTTGCTTCATTTATTTTATCAATGCGTTTGCAAGATAAAAGAAAATTATTACGTGAAGCTGTTTTTCCGTATATATTTGCAGGTGTTTTTCTAGTAAATATGATTTTTATTTTTATTCTCAAAATAGAATTCTAACATATTGGTTAAATTGATTTTAGTTAACAAGTATTGATATGATTATTTATTATGTATTGACATTAAGAGGTCATTATTATGTTCGATGGTCACGTCCACTTCGTGTTCTTTTTCCATTTGCTTTACAAGCTGGTCAAAATGTAAGTAATTGATCGAACAATTTTTTTTTGTTTTTTTATTGAAATATTTTCCAATAGATTCGCCGTGTTATTCGAAATATTCTTCGAACATTACCAAATATCGGTAATGTTATGTTTCTATTTCTATTTTCACTATTAACATTTACTTTACTTGGTGTTGGTATTTTAAAAAATAAGTAAATTAAAATATATAAAGAATATCGTTCGAAAGTCAAATATTGTTTTTTTTTTTCTTCTTTTATTAGAAAATTAACATATCCAAATGGATATGAATATTTTACAAATTACTTAGATACTGCTTGGGATTTATATGTACTTACAACAACAGCAAATAATCCTGATGTTATGTAAGATAAATACGTTTTTATGGATCCACAGTTCTCTACAGGAGGAACATTGCTAAGGCGTCTGTGAGAGACTTCAAATTTTTACTCCTATAGTTCACCATTCGTCTTAGATTGTGTTACATAAAATTAAGTAGTTATAATAAGCTTAGTATAATTATTTGATAGGTTCGCAAAAATTTTAGTAGATCCTATTGGGAAAACTTCTGAACTTGAACAAAAAATAAAATGTATATTTTTTTGTACCTTTTAAATCAATATAAAAAAATATAAAACTATGCTTAAAAAATATTTATTCCACTACTTTCGTTAGGTTTCCTATTCCAAAAAAAAACATTTTCGATTTTCCAGATGGAATAATAACGAATTTTGAGATTGCATTATTACCCTCTGAATCCTCACGACGCATTAAATATTGATTATTTCTTATACTTTAAATTCAGATAAACAATATTACATATTCTGTATTCTCTATAAATAGGATGCCAGCATTTAATTCAAGTATACTCTATGTGATCTTCTTTGTGGCTTATCTATTAGTCAATCTTTATTTATTCATGAACTTACTTTTAGCCGTTATTTTTTCCAATTACAAACAACATTTACAGGCAAAAATAATATTTTTTTTTGTTTTTGCATTTTCTAACTAGAAAATTTTATACAATATGAATATATATATATATATATCATTCATCTAGGAAGAACGACAATTAATTCATAAACGTCAATTAGATATTATTTTGGTTATATTTGAACGTATAACACAGCATAGTTTAAATCGTTCTCTATCATATGAAACATATGTACGTTTAATGCGTGCAGTAAAACCTGAAATAACAGAAAATATAATTGATGCTTATTGGAAAACATTAGATGTAACTAATAAAGAAGATGGATTAAGTATGAATTTGTAAATAGTTAATCAAAACTAAAAAGAAGAAAGAATTTTATTTATATAGATTTAAGACAATTCAATGAACTTTTGTTAAATCTTAACTTTGGATTAAGACAACGAAGTTCTGATCAAACAATACTTCAAAAAAAAATTCCATTAATTTATAATTCAAAACCAAGTCGAATTATTATTGATTTTGTTAATACAGAGTAAAAAAATTCTTTTCTTTTTTTTTTTTTAATTTTTGTTTAAAATTAAAATTTCTCAATGAAATCATTTTAGTCTTTTTCGAGCTATAATTAATTTATTAATTATTGGTAATGCTATATGTTTAGCAGCAAGTTATAATGATTTAGAATGGTTTTTCTTATCCCTATTTATTGTTGAAGCTTTATTAAAAATGTATGCAATTGGTGTAAAAGAATATTTTCATCATCGATGGAATATATTTGATTTTACAATTGTTTTTGTATCAACAACTTATAGTCTTTTAACAGCTTTTGTTAAAACTTGTAAATAGAAGAAAAAAAAGATTGAAGAATTTGTTTTAGTTTTGTTTATATTTGTTTTAGTAAGTCTTAATCGAGATGTGCTTGATACCATTTTAGTTATTCGAGTACTTCGTCTTGTTAAACTTGTTGGAAACGTTGAACGGTAATTTATTTAATATTATTTTGTTGATTGTATATATATGTATAGAGACATTTTGTTAGATTTAAAGTTATTTTTGGAACATTTTCAAAAGTTATACCAACATTAATGACTTATCTGCGAGTGATGTTTGTAAGTAAAAAAATTAAATCTTTTTAGATTATATTGAATAGTTTATTCTATATAGATGACTTATTATGTATTTGCAATGATTGGTAAATGATATGAAAAATTTTAAATAAAAAAAAAAAAGAACAATAATTAATTGTTTTTTTTTTTATCAAGGAATGGAAATATTTCAAAATAAAATAGCTCAATTGGATAAAACTTTTCCGCTCGCTGAATTTTGTAATAATACTCGACTTAATGGTTCAGAATTTGCAAAGTATATTGACAAGATTTTATTTTAAAAAAAGTATCTTATGTTTTTTGTACACGTTTAGGAGTCAATATTGTCGAAATAATTTTAATGATTATTTATCATCATTGATTCTTCTTTTTGAATTAACTGTAGTTAATCAATGGCATGGTAAGAGAAATGAAAATGTAAATTAGAAGAATGATATATTTTTCATTGTTCAATCGATATCTATGAAATTAATCGCAAATAGTTATTCATTAATATCAATCATATGAGTTATTTTCTGATAGACAGTTTATTTCATAGAGCTACGCAGATTGTTAAGTTTTTGTAAATTCTCCTGTTTATTTTTCTTGTATCGTATTCTATGATGAAAGACAAAATTTAGTTAATTTACAACATTTGTGTATAAAATTCGTAGATTTATTTTCTATAATGTAAATGGAATACGGTTTGAATAGTTCGATCTATCTAAATTCAATATTGAACTTTTACATTTAGTTATCTCCTGAATTTTGAATATACTTGTCATTCTCTTAATTTTAAGTATTGGCTTCTGGCTTTGTTATTGTAACCAGTAAAGCGGCACGCCTTTTCTTTCTTGCCTTTCATCTATGTGCTGTTATTGTAGTACTCAAGTAATGCTCTTCTTCTTTTTTCGCTTTATTGTATCTTTTTCTTTTCATTATAATTTCTTTTTTTTTAATTTTAGCATCTTTACTGCATTTGTTATTGATTCTTTTCTTAATCAATATATATTATCAAAGAGTAAAGAGTTTCCATGGATTGAACAAGAAAACCTTATTGCTGAGAGACTCACTCAACAAGGTTATCGAGTTATTCGAAGGTAAAATCAAACGATTGTCTATTTTTTCTTGATTTGACTTGTTTTCTTGTTTTTTTTAAAGATATGATAATTCAAAACAATCGGGAACAAGAACAAGGAAAAAATTTAATTTATTAGAACAACTTCGAACATTTGTACAACCATCGATTTATCGTCGTATGACAGTTGTTCTTCAAAGTATGGCTGAAGATGAAAATGCTTTACTTCTTCATTGGTGTGGTGATGTAGATATTGATCCCGTTGCTTTGCTGAATTTGACAAATGATACATCTTAAATTAATAGATTATTATCATGTTGAAAAAAAAAAATAATAAATTATTCTTTTGCTGGTTCTTTTTTACAAGAACCTTTTTTTTTATATTGAAAAGACATAAAGCAAAAAATTTGCTTCGCATTCAGGAAAAATATGGGATTTTTTTGCACACAATGTGACAACATAACTCTATTGAATATTGTATAATCACTTCGTTCAAAAGAAGGTTTGAGTGAAATCGACAGAACCTGACAAGTTTTTGTGCTTAAGAATTTTTACTGCTAAGATGTGAACCCACATTTGTCAGAAAAATAGATTTTTTTTGTTTTTTATTGTTTTTGATACAGATAAAAGAAAGTATTCTGGAGCAGGTACGTGAATCTTGTATATTTCGTACTCCATAATCTTGTCCAGCTGAAATTTGAAATACGAATTTATGCGTGTCTGTCGTTGAGTTTCTTAGATATATTTAACACTCGAAGTCTTTAGAATTATATAGAATAGTACTTCATTCTATGTGAATAATAGGTTAACACAATTCGGCTTCAACTCAAGTGTGCAATTTAAGTTACTAACCTTGAATAGAACTATTATAGACATCTATCAGTCGAATAAGATGACGTATTTAAAATCGCCAACTCACACGAAAGGAATTACTGATCGAATTCTGCTCTAATGAAAGGAGCTGAAAGATAGGAATCAGCTCAGTTATATGATATGGGCTGTCGTGCACCTAATAGAGAAATGATATATTCAGAAAAATACTAAAAACCTTTTTTTTGACATAGGTTTAATCATATGTTGGAGGAAGAAGGCGCGAACAATCTAGAGACTTGTCCAGTCTTAGCGAGATTCACTGACGCTCAAAAAATGGAACCAAACAATTCGAAAACAGTTGGGATACTTAGTTTTTTGTCAACGAAATGTGTAGAAAAAAGTATGAGTCATCAAAAGCATTCCTTTATATCGATGCATCGGTAAAACTAACAGTAGATTCGAGGTTTTTGGAAAAACATTCGTCAACTGGCTTGTGCCAAATAGTGCACCAAATATACTGTGGAACGTATAACTTTCGAAAAATTTCTATTACGAAAAGCTCCTTAGAAAATTAGAAAAAAATTCTTGTCAAACCATGTTTTTAGCGAAAAAAAAACAAGTATTTTCGCTAAATACTCGTTACAAGACTCGTGCCAACCGAAGAAACGTTTGTGCAAGATTGAAGTGTGAGACTCACACCTAGGAGTGTGGGTGTGGGTGCCGCCATAAGTCAGACTGTAAACTCACATACCACACCGACTGGCACTCATGCCCACACAGACACCGATAATCACACCCATACCCGCTGGTTCCTTGTATTTATAGGTACGAAATAGATCTTATATGCAATCAACTTGAACAGTAACTGAGACAACCGATGATTTGGGGGGGGGGGGGGTATTTTTTCGTATTCCTACTGGCATAATATATTTGTTGACGCGTATAGAATACATGAAGAATCAATATCGCGAAATTTTAAATAGCGTCCCAATTATTCCACAACTCAGCGTCAAATCCCAAACGACCAAGATGAATATCTTGCCAATTATTTGCTGCTTTCATTATCTGTATCGTGCCTACTGTATAGTTCTCAATTGCGAAACCTTTCTTATCCCAAGATTGATTGCCAATTGTGACTTTGTGACCATTTCTGTCCGAATAGGCTTTGAAAAGGCTAACCTGTGAGTACTTGTCTAATTCATTCCATTGTTCAATCCAGAGATTCTTGATTATAACAGATTGAGTATTCGAAAGTGCATAAATGCGCATGGAACAAGGACTCATGCCCTCTGAGCGAACATTGGAAATAGTTAAACCGGATATCAACTGATTTGGATCTGCTGTATTGATCGAATATGTATCAGCATAATGTGGAGCTGAATTGATAATGCATGTATTGACTTTGATATCGGACCACCAAATTCTATTATGAATAATATCAACTTCATCGACTATGATATCGTTGATAGTTCGGGGCGACCATCCCCATTGAATTACTGGTCCATTTTCATTTTTCCATACGACAATGTTATTCACTCTCACATTGGAATGATAGATCTTCAGAACATCGTCGTTGGAATGAAAGAATGTGTTCTCCACTGTACTACCACGATAAATTTCAAGACCATCTGTTTGCCAATACCAGCTACCTACTTGATGATAAAATGAAACGGACATACGAAACGACTGTTCATCACCGTAAACAACAAAAGAATGATAGGGTGGTTCGGCCACAGTAATGCCATGTAAATGAAGATGTTGTTGTTTACCCAGTTCAGAAGTGAAACGAAGCATTTTAATGCATGTTGCCCAGCATTGTTCATCAATCGCATGATGATAATTATTGTTTGTATCCGCCTCATACACATACTTTTCACCAGAAAGAACACCAAAACCTGTAACTTTGATATCATCTGTTGATTCAAATTGAAATGCACCTTTCACATAAGCTCCAGGAGCTAAATATAACCAGTGCACGTTAGTAGACAAGCGCGCATGATAATCCCATGGCATGTAATAGATACCCGGTTTAAAATAGATTACAGTTTGGCTAATCGAATTCAAATTATTGACTCTTCCCGGTGAAACATAGTAAATATCATATTTGTTAGCATTGGGAATGTATTTATCAACATCGTTGCCAACTAAAATAGATTCAGCGAAGATAAGCAGAGCATCTCTTGGTTCAGTATGAATGGCTCTTCCATTAGCATTCTCTGATGGACTGTTGTTTAAATTGTACGTAGTAAAAAGTTTAGTTTTGAATTCAACAGAGAATCTATTTCAATTTTATGTTAATCATCAAGAATTAGGCTGGTTATGACTCTTACCTATAGCCAGTAGCTCGATAGGGTAC